TGGTGAATAAAGCAAAATGCAATTTGTTCTGCTTTCCAAATAAGCATGACTCAAAAATTTAAATTAAAATATTTTAAACTAGGAAAAAGGCTTTTATCTAGAAGTACCATGATTCCATGCTGGTTTATATGACCCATACGTGCATGCCATGTCATTATGGAGTCTACCTTTACAATATTGACCTCTAGTAAAACTGTTTCTCCAACAAGTTTGTACAATTTGCCTGCTAACTCTCCTTTTGTAACCACTGGTGCTCCCTTTGAAATTTTCAAACATCTATTTTTACCTGTAAATTTGAAATCTTGCTCATCAAATTTTCTCAGGGACAAGTTGTCACATCTGGTACTCCCTTTGAAATTTTCAAATATTTATTTTTACCTGTAAATTTGAATTCTTGTTCATCAAATTTTCTCATGGACAAGAGACTCTTGAGATCTGTAGTATGTCGACACCTCGGATTGTGCATATGACTCCATTGAATATCTTGATTCTCCCATCTTTTACTCCCATTATTTTACATGAGTCATTATTTTTCATTTAAACAATACATCCATCATATGGTTGGTATCTATAGAACCAATCCCTTTGTGGAATCATGAGAAAGGCTGCACTTGAATCAAGTAGCCAATAATGCAAAACTACCCCCTATCCATAGATAAAATTTCTCAATTTTTAGAAAATTTAATTTCTTCTGCTATATTTCGTTGAGAATCACTTGAACTAGGCTTCTCATTGGAATCAGATTTATGGGCATCCTGATTTCTTTTTTGTTCCTTACAATATTTCTTCATATGACCTAGTTTTCCGCAACTCCAATGTTTCACTTTCTTATGCTCTCTTGATTTGGATTTTGACTGATCTCTTCTTATAGTTCTCTCCATTTATCTTCCCTGTGCTACAAACAAATATTTAGAAGAATCTTGACCAGACTTTAGCCTAGACTCCTCTGTTAGAAGTGTTGAAACAACGGAATCAAATTCAAGAGATTTCGCACTATTGAAATTCATGATCAATCTATCCCATGATTCCAACATAAAACAAAATATTATAGCTGCATTATCTTCTTCATCAACTTTTATATCTAGTAACATGAGGTTGCTAACAAGGCATTAAAATCATTTACGTTCCTTTTCAAAGATGCACCATTACGTATCTTGAGATTATAAAGTTTCCAACGAAAAATTTTTTATTAGGAAGAGACTTACCTTCACAAGTATTTCTTAGCCCGTCTCATAAATTTTTCACTATAATTTCTGAGGATACATTGAATAAACAGATTCATCAAGGGCCAATAAAATATCTTACTTGACCGATTCATCATTCTCATTAAATTCCTCATCATTCATCTTTGAATGTTTATTTTCTCTGCCTTTCAAAGTCACTACACAACCATCTTTCACCAACACCGTATGCATATTTAATTTTCAAGTTGAGAAATTCAAACCTTTAAAATTTAGGACTTCATATTTGGTTGAACTTCCTCTGCCATCTTCAATGATCTACGATCTACCACAAACCTTGTGTCCAGTAAGGATCTTAACTAAAGCTTTGATACCAATTGTAGAAGATAGAAACCAAGGTTTGATAAAAATAAGGGAAAGAAAAAAAATGCAAAAAGTTAAAAGAAAAGAGGAGCACATATTTATGTTGTTTGGCAAGTTGCCTACGTCCACAGGATAGATGCTATGGTACACCGATTGGTGTACCACTACAGTAAACACCGAACGGCCCACATCGAATCTGGGCCGATCTGACAATCACGGATGTCTGATAGTGTTTTATTTTTTATTTTTTTATTTACAAATTGGAATGATTTGAAATTTGGAACGTGTATTCATAAAAAATATGAGAATCTATGAAAAATATCAAAAAAATATTTTACATGAAATAAATTGATAAAAATCCCCCGAAAAATTATAGGGGTATTTTGATCATTTTTTTTTTTAGAATTTTTTTTTTATATTTTTATTAGGTGCGACTCACTAAGAGTACACACACTCCAAATTTCAGATCATTTTGATTTGTAAAAAAAAAATTAAAATTTAAACACTCTCAAACAACCGTGACCATCAAATCGGGCCATATTCGATCTGGGCTGTTGGGCTTTTACAGTAGCGATATGCACATGGACGCATATGAACTTTTTTCATATATATATATATATATATATATGGTATAAATATATTATATAATAAGATATCGTACCTCACATCTTAATGGAGAATATAATTTGGCTCCTCAAAATCACCCAATTGATCAAGTCAACTTTGAAAATCATGGATTTCAAAATGGAAAAGGAAAATAAAAATAAAACAGTTTTCTGTACTCATAAGATATTTTCTCAAGCATCCATTTAAAGTGATATGAAATCTGCCAATTCTGTACTAATTATTGATATTGATTTCTAACAACCGTTTGAAAGAGATTTGCAGGTGTTTACAACCCTCAAATTATACTTTCCAATGGGGTCATGCGGTGTAGTTTTAGCACGAAAGCCACACAATTAACTATATTGTCATATGTACGTCAATAATTAAGAGCTGAGGTAGGGCACACACACCAGGCCTATGATTGAATATATGTGGCACCGTGTGAGCCCCTTGTTAGACCATAGTTATTGGGAGCCGGAGTGGAAATGGCTATGGGTCGGGAACCGGAGTGGAAATGGCTATGGGTCGGGAGTGGAAATGGCTATGGGTCGGGAGCATTGGATCGATGGCGGCCCAAAGCTCTGACTCTTGGGCGTGAGTTCTAGTGAGGGTAAAAGTAGCAGAACAAGATCCCCATATGAAGGTGGAGTATGTTCTCAATACTACGTGATTTAGATCCTTACTTAAGGGGTACGTGATCCCTATACCATGGGATCGTGCTCCCATATGTAATAGGATTGCACTCCCATCCGGAATAGGAACAAGATCTCATTTGAAGTTGAATCGCGTTCCTATTTTGGAAGGATCAAACCCTACTAAAGGATGAATGGTGTTCCTTGTATGATTAGTCTTGCCCCCATCGCATAACTTTAGTTGTATCAAGAACTCAACCCCATTACACATGGATTCATGTTCCCACTAACTACTACAACCCATTCTCACATTAAAAGGGAATTCGTTTTGGTTTGCTCTAGATCTCATTGGTCATTAATCGATAATGATGGAGTTCCATGTACACGGATTCCGCTCCCAAATTTCAAGGTTCGAGGACCTTATTTATTATGGAGCAGGATCTACAATCTTCACGAACATGCACCGTGGTATGTGGGGTTAAGATCTCTTTGTTCATTGGAACGAGTACCCTATAAAATGGGAGCGAGATCCCAAAATAAAAAAATCGCGTTCCGATTGAGATCTCGGTTATGGAACGTCAGAGCTAGATTCCAGAGCCGAAACGCCACGCAGTTGGGCACTCCCGGTAACTATGTGTTAGACTATCGTTCAAATCCGACCAAGTATAGGTGGTGGGTACCACGACATGAGTTCCATTCTTATCACAAGTAGGGACCCTATCTCCACTAATCTATAGTAGAAAAATAAATAAATAAAACAAAATCTGATCTGCCCTAGCTTAGGAGGTGCACTGTCCAACCCAGCCCGATTAGCATTTAAGATCTGCACGTCGTTTTTGTGAATCTAGCAAACCAGATATAAAAATCATGGATCTGAGAATATTACTTAATAATCCCAAGTAAAATCTTAATCAACAATGAATTTATTAGGCTTAGTATCATTCAAAACTTAACAACAATTTTTTTTCACGCAACTGTACCTGTAATTTATTATGAATCTAATCTACAATGTATACAATTAAAAAAAAACAAAGACTTGTCTTGCTTACATCACGGGAGCATATAGACTCCACGTTCCAGTTTTGTTGATTGGTATAATTATAGGGAAGAGAAATTCAAGAAAAAACACAGACATTTGAAGCACCACCTACGCGGTTTCTTACACATCAAATTACTCTAATTTACTTAGCTTGTTCCTCTTCCTTATTCCATTAACTTCAACCCTTGCTTCTGTCCTTATTTAACAATTTCCTTTCTTGTAAAAAGAGAAAGAGAAATTATCTGAGATTCAGGCCGAAATTTGTGAAATTTAGCAAAGTTTAATGTCAATTAATATTAGGGTGCGGTTTGTATAGAGCCGAGGCTCTAAACAATCAAAGTAAAGCGCGCCTTCAAGTAGTGTCGAGAAATGTCGTTTCAATATTGGAAAACTTAATGATAGTCTTAAAATATATTTTCATATTTAATTGTAAAATTAAAGCTTAAAAAATAGTTTAGATTGAGCAGATCTATGAAATCTTGAAAATTGACAGTTCCAAAATGCGTTACAAGATGCAATATTTCCAAAACTTGAAATCCATTGTTTTCTCTTGTTTAGAGCCTTGGCTCTATATAAACATTTTCTTTAATTATTATTGATGGGTAGATATTAGCTGCTCTCTAAGTTTCAACAAAAAATGATCCAAAACTCTTTCTCCAAAATTTAAAGCAAACTCTTAGCCTTATTTTTGTCAATAAAGTGAGTTCTCCTCTATTTCTTGTGAGTTCTAGGACAAAGGAAGCTATGAAGTCTTAAATTTAAATGAAATTTCCACAAATTACTGACTTCAATTTTCGCAAAATGTTTTTGGTGATTCGGCTAGTTCTATCAGGCGGTAAAGTTGTGCATTAATTATGCCTTTCTTGTTTGGATCTAACCCATTGACAACAAAATTAAAGAAGTCAACCCTACTTAATATACTGAATATAGACTACTTCAAACTTTCCTAGAACTAAAAACCTTAAATTTCCTTCATCAAGATTCAATTACGGAATAATAACCACTATAGTTATATATTTATTAAAATAAAAAATAAAAATAAAAAAGAAAAAAGGAAATGGTAAACCACAGTAAGTATATTTTAAATGCAACTTGACAGCCTTGATCTGATCAAACCCCATTAATGTGCAAAAGTCACCATAAATAAGGGTCTGCATTGGACCTAGTTCAACAAAGCTTCTAACCTATCATTTGCAACAAGACAATGGCCATGAAAATTCTCTCGGTGTGCGTGTCTCAACTTGCCTTATTGTTCCTTCTCTTGAACTTGGCAAATGGTCAAGGCCTCAAGCTTGGTTTCTATAACAAGATATGTCCCCAAGCAGAACAAATAATTCAGAAGACAATAGCAAGATATGTCCTGAGAGCACCCACACTTGCAGCACCATTACTAAGGATGCATTTCCATGACTGTTTTGTTAGGGTATGTCTCATTCTTCCTCATTTTCTTAATGCCTTCTTACAAAGCTAGCCTTCTGAATTACATGTAAACATCGTTTAGTGCTCTTTTTTTTTGTTCCCAAAATGTTTTCCTGCGACCCTTTCGTGCCGGATAGAGCTTTATGTTCAAGTGAGTTCATACCTAAATATGTATGAGGCGGATTTCTCACAAAATTACGTAGCATGCTAGTGAAGACTGGGAAAGTAATTTCCAAGCCACTACAATGTTTACTACTCTCCTTGAAAATGGAAAAGCAGTAGTCAAGCAAGGAAAAAAACTTTCTCAGAGAGTTCTTTTCGGTCCTAGGGTTTCTTTTCTGATACATGAGTGTGGCTCAATTGCTTGCAGTTGATGAGGTTATAAGCATGATTAAAGTGTTATAGTGGTGATGAGTACCACTACCTATTGTCATGCAATGCTTTCATAGTTTGGTGAGGCTCACAATTGTCTTCTAACACACTCAACATTGAATGTTTTTAGGCGCATGAAAGTTGCTCTAATTTGCCTGCTATACTGAACTTAAGCACTAATAAATCATTAAAGAGTTACAATGACGAAATATGCTTTGTCATCGTCTTCCGAGTCCTATCCCAACTATTTGGGATCGGGTACATGAAATTTATTCGGCCAAGAACCCTACATATGCTTCAATTCTTAAAATTTAAATGTGTTATTGGTAATGACTAGGGGTGTGATGCTTCCTTGCTGTTGAACTCCACCAAAGGTAATACTGCCGAGAAGGACCACCCCTCCAATCTGAGTCTCAGAGGGTTTTACATTTTCGACGCTGTGAAGGAGGCGGTCGAGAAAGTCTGTCCCGGCGTTGTCTCCTGTGCTGACATTGTTGCACTAGCAGCAAGAGACGCAGTCTCCTTGGTAAACAAACAATTCACCTCTTTCTGTGAACAATTGACCTCTCCAATTGATGAACATTACCTCAAAACAAAAGCTAGAATTAGTAGTTCTCACAGTAATAAAATGTTGGGACAGATTCATGGACCAACATGGGATGTTCCAACGGGTAGAAGAGATGGGCGCGTATCAAAAATCTCAGATATATTGAGCAATTCGCCTTCTCCCTTCATGAACATTACTCAATTGAAGCAGATGTTCTCTGCAAAGGGTCTTGACTCGAAGGACCTCGCCGTCTTATCAGGTAAAATGAAGACTACATTCAAACATAATATTATCACCTTACTATTTCATTGCCCTACAAATGAGTTCTCTTTCTCCCTCATTGAAAATATAAATTCATAACTTACACCATTTCATTCCCCAAAACAAATTAGTGAAATTACAATCTGAAGGATTACTCCCTCTCCCCAACAGTCTACAATATCATCAGTAGTTCCTCTTTCAATGCCCAACAAACCAATTTTACTTAGAGAGTCAAAACTTGTTTTATGGGTGAAAATTCCCCCAAAAAAACTAAAATAAATTCATATATATTCTCTTACATCAACATGTCAATTCTTCAGGTGGCCACACAATTGGGAATTCTCACTGTACGGGTTTCTCTTATCGTATCTACAGCTTCACAGGCAAGGGCGACACCGACCCTGCATTGGATTCGAAATACATCCCCAAACTCAAAGCGAAATGCAAGCCAGGTGACACCACCACCCTCGTTGAGATGGACCCTGGAAGCTTCAGGACCTTTGATACCCACTACTACTCTCTGATCCAGAAGAGGAGGGGTCTCTTCGTGAGCGACTCCGCTTTGCTAAACGACCCTGTAACCAATGCTTATATCACCACCGCGGTCGCCTCTCCTGCCACTTTCTTTAAGGACTTTGCAGCCTCAATGGTTAAGATGGGCAAAGTTGGGGTTTTGACTGGAAATGCTGGAGAAATCAGGAAGGTATGCTACAAAATTAACTAAGGCCTACTCCCCCATTTCTGAATTTCTCTGGGGATTTTATTTTTGATTGCAAGGTTCATTCTCTTTTCTATGTCTGTTTTGTGGCTTTGTATTTTGAAGTTGCTTGATGTTATGGTAGCTGGCTTCTTGTTTGGAAGGGTCCGATTTTGCAGATGTAACCATTCATTCTGAATCAAGAAGATCCTTCTGTTTCATGTGATATTATTTGGCACAAATAATATATTATTGGGCACAATGAATCTGCTTTGAAGGCAGAATAAAAATTGTTGGAATTTAGTGGCAGTTGACCCGCGCCACCGGGAACTGACGATTTTGATTGGTCCCCCCTTTCCAAACATTTCATACAACTAGCATTATGCTAACGAATAATAGACCAAAAAATTCCCTCCTCTTGTCGGAGCATACTATCCATCTACTCCCTGGCGCCAAACGTACACTAGGAATATCTTTTGGATCCGAATTTTTAGCGATGTGATTTGAAACCTGGCCACCAACCTAAAGAAAAAGGAACTTACCTCTCATTCTCGGTGTGCCTAAAGAAAATGTTAAAAATTCAAACTCCGAATTTTTTCTTTTAAATAGTTATCTAGTTATTATCCGATGGATCTTGAAATTTAAAATAAAAACAAGAATCCTAAGTAAGTGTTTTTTCAGGGGGAGTAAAGATATAATACGCTCCCTAGGGGTGATAATATAGGCACAAAAATAATAATACTAATAATAATAACAGAAATGATCTTAGAAGACCCTGTCCCAATCATATATGTAAGACCCCAAAAGATCACTATTAAATTTGACATGAATCTCTAAAAAAATCAAGTCTCACACCCATGTAATAACTTTTAAGGTGATCCTTTAAAGTCCTACACACATGGATGGTGGAGGGTTTTATAGGATCATTACTCAAATAATAATAATAATAGTAATAATAATAATAATAAGTCTTGTTCATAAGTCTTGTTCACACTCTTTTTTTTCAATTTTATAATTATCGCATTTTATACAATATTTAAAATATTGGAATAACTTGAATTAATATTACGATACTTTTAGTTACCGTAAAACATAAGCCGACATTTTACGAGACGAAAGCGTGAACAAGAACCAGAAGGAGAGATGGCCTTCTGTCCTCCAAATGCCGGTAAAAATTAAGGTATTTGCATGAGGCACTCTGAATTGCTTGCAAATTAAGGGATTTTAAGCCCCATCCCTCTGCTTAAGAAAATAAGAACCTTCTATCTGTCTCTCTCCCATTACCCTCGTCTCTTTAAAAGCCCTGTCCCTCTGCATAAGAAAACCAAATCCCTCTCTCTCTCTCTCTAAAAAACTCCATCCCTCTGTTTAAGGAAACCAAAGCCCTCTCTCTCTCCCGTTACCCGCATCTCTCTTTCTCCCTCTAAAAGCCCCATTCATCTACTAGAAAACCAGAGCCCTCTCTCTCTCTCCTGTGGCCCTCATCTCTCTCTCTAAAAGCCCATCCCTCTGTAAGAAACCAGAACCCTCTCTCTCACATAAGCTACCATCTCTCTCTTAAATCAAATTTTGCAAATTCTTGATTTGGGGTCATAATGAGTTGCATTGACACAGTGGAATCAAAGCCACCTGCAGGGCTCATAGTTCATGTTGCAGAGAATGGCCATAGTTTCGAGTCAACTGAAGTGAAGAAAACTCTGTTGAAGCAGCTCAGAGATGCTTAGAATGCCCTCTCTCTTTAAAAGCCCTTAATTTTCACCGGCAATTGGAGGAGAGAAGGCAATCTCTCCTTTCTAGTTTTTTTTCACGTAAAAAACGCTTTAGGTTTTACGGTACGTTAAGTACCTCAATATTAAATCAAGTTATACGAATATTAGGAAGGTTATTTTGATCATAAAATGCTCAAAATTGAAGAAAAAAAATTGTGGAGGAGGTTTATGAAAGTTGGGATTTTTTTTTCTAAATGCATTAAAATTAAGGTATATTTGTGATAATATGTCTAATAATAATAATAACAATAATAATAATAATAATAATAATAATAATATTAATAATAATAATATATAAATAAATAAGTAAATTAATAATAATAATTAATTACGGAAAAAGAATGATACAATATGGTTGATGAGGTGCGCTCTCCTATTTCACTCTTTAAAAATTGTAGCAATTAGAACGGTTCCATGCACGTTCTTCTACCAGCATTAACATATTTTAAGAGAACCAACATGAGAACGAAAAGCCAGAAGAATAAGTCGCACATGCTAAAAATATAAAAAGATGTATGCCAATGGGACGATTAAAATAATTTCAGAGGGAAGAGAAGAGAAGAGAAGAGAGGATAGGATGGGTAATTTCAAATTCAGATGGATTGGTAAGCTTTGTTAGGACTTTTTTTCTTGTTGCTCACCAATTTTTAGGTCAAAATAAATTTTTTAAAAATTATAAAAAAATATTTTGCTTAAGACAAGTCTTTCTTATTTGTGCTTTCTGTATTTTATTTTATTTTAATTAATTTTGTTAGAAACCATGATTTATCATTCTTAGCTTAACCCTACTTCATCAAAAAAAATAAAACAAATAAAAAAATAAAGTGCAAATATCATTTTGAGGGTTGTTTACACCCTCTTTGAACTATGTCCCATTCGAGTCACCCTCGACTCGGGCCGTGCTCAACTAGGTACGGGTTGTGTCTGGTTCCACCTTTATTTATTGTATACCTCCTTAGGGGTTGCTTACCCCCACATCTGAACAGTGTTTTTGGTCGGTCAAAAACCTGATCTAAAGCACACCTCATTTGGCACGATTTGTGTCAAGTGCTCACATTTTTTTTCTTGCATTCTGTGTTTGCCTGCGTGCTATTTTCCTTTTCACTTGCGTTCTTCTTTACACACTCTTGTACACAATGGACAGGGAAGCCCGAGAAACCAACAAAAATTTTCAAAACCCCCCAAAATCTGGCACTAACTGTCGTGAGAGGAACCTAGCATTGTGAGCCGAGGCAGTTGGGATTCGCATAACTTTAATTGTGAGCACCCCTTCATAATCCTAAGCCTCAAATCAACTTCACACATAGTAGGACCTGGTTGATACCTATAATTGGAGGCCAGGACCTACGTGGGGTCCTACTCAGCCTAACCGCATTTCTGTAGTTAGGAACCCACTCAGACCAAGCCTACCCACAGTATAGGGCAAAATTTTTCAAGTGTTTTGTTTGCTTATTACAATTAACTAGTCTTAGATCTCAGTCCAAACCCTTCAGGTCCAAGCTGAACTCTGGGTCCAAGTCCAGGCTCATACCCAGCCCAGCCCAGGTTCAAACCAGGTTCACCACCAGATCGGAACTTAGGCTGCCTCTTGATGGGAGCCAAAGCTCATTTCAAAGCTCACCTAAACCTTAGTCCTGGTCCACACTTGGTCTATATTTGAAATCTTCTAGGTCTAAGTTCAGTCTTGTACCCAGCCTAGCCCAGGTTTGAACCAGGTTTACGCCTTGGTCCGTACTTAGGCCCCTTTTTAGTCCGAGCCAAGGCTCATGCCTAAACCAACCTTGATCCAATCCGGGCCAACACCCGGTCAGATATTCAAACCCTCTAGGTCCAAGACCAGGGTTGTACCTAGCTCAGTCCAAATCCAAACTAGGTTCACACCTAGGTCCTAACCTAGACCCCCTCTCGGTCCGAGCCAAGACTTGTACCCATCTAGTTTAGATCCCAGTCTAGGTCTTAGCCTAGGTCCTAGTATAGAGTTTCCTCTAGAGCTAGACTAGGCTTATCCTAGTTCAAGATCTAAACTAAACTAGCGAGATTCATCCGATCTAGTGCTAGCCTAGGTCTTAGTTTAGGGTTTCGCCCCTAGAACTAGACTAGGTTCTATCCTAAGCCATCGAGCCTAGATCTCACCCTACGTCTAGATTCAAGAACCAGGTCAAAGAGAGTCACCACGTCAGTTACCCAAGCTGACCATGATGGTTACAGCAGACTCCAAACCTGATATTTCAAAATCTAGAGACCAGTATGTCGCAATCCCATGGGATTATGGCCAGAACCCGGGTCCGTCCATTTTTCAGTGTCCAAGTCTTCAATTAGAGGCAGAGGCTCAAGGATCAGCTCCTAATCCTGAGATCTGTGAGGCCTGAAAAGCTAGCTCCGCCTGAAAGACTTTCAATAGTCAAGGGGTTCGACTTGGGGTCATCCTGCAAGGGCTCGTAGGTAACCAAAGTAGGAGTCGAGTGAGGGAAGAAGTTCACGCAGTGTCAAATGCTCAGTCCCATAACCAAGTTAATCTTAAGGCACGACGGCCTCGAAACCAAGACCCAACTAGGTCTAGGGGATCTAACCTGGCCTCAAGCCACCATTGCACAACTCATGATAACCTGAATGTCATGTGAAACAGAGGTATAGATTGGAATTGACCCTTAGGTGATGTAGGTGTTCAAGCTTCCCTTCAAAGTTTAGTTGACTGGGGATATACAGTTCATACCCCAGCACATGTGTGGGTCCCAAACCAACTTATTGCTTTAGGACAACCCAAAGGACAGCCAAGTCAACCGATTGTACAATCGATCCCAATAGTCCATCCGGTCCAACAGACCGTGCAATTTTCGCAGCCGGTGTCAACACCTATGAGACAATACATCTCTTAGGCACAGGAATACCAAACCACCCCGGTGACTATGGCTCATCATCCTCAAGTCCATACAAGCCAATACATACCCCAAGCCTTAGCTCATCAGTCTTCACTTGGGAACCCATCCACCAGCGGGCATACTATCATGCCGAATGCCCAATACAAAGGTACCATGAAAGCAATGCAAGGCGTGCTTGTAAGAATGGGCCTTCACGAAGTTTTACCCCAGAAGGCCTATATTCATGAGACCCTCGGAGGCATGGATGATCTTCCCTTCAGATTCATCATCCCAGAGTTCCGAAACAAGTTCAATGGGTAGAGGGATCCAGATGCCCATGTTAACACGTACCTCCTCTCCGTTCGAGCTTTGTGAGAAAGGCCAAATCATTTGAAGGCCATATTTTCACAAACGGTGTCAGGCAAGGCTCTGAACTGACATCGAAGAATGATGTGTACTCAACCGCAAATCACTCCAGTTGAAATTTTCAACCTATTCGTCTCTCACTATGGTGGATTAACACCAAGGCCTCTCTCCTTGGGCGAACTCAGTGCAACAAAACAAAATCTAGGAGGATCCTGTGAGGACTTCATCAATCGAT